AGTTGCCTAGTTATTATCGTAAATTCTCAATTCACGCCCAGCGCCAGCTAAAAAAACAATAGCATTGTAAAAATAAAAAAAAAATTGGTTAACCGAAAAAATAATTAATTGATAATAACGATTAATTAATTGAAATTCTGTATTAATTATTTGCGATTAATCGATTATTCTAACAGTAAATAAATGATTAGTCGAATAATTTCCCAGCTCTTGTATTAACTTCTAGTCAGGCATTTAAACCAATAAAAAGTATCGATTGTAAATTGTCTATCGTTGTTGAATAATTTCGCACGGACTCCTTTTTAACAATTCGTCTCATGTACGAATCGTAGAAATCGAAAGCAAAAATTAAAAGAAAAAATGAAGGTTAACGTCCAAGCCCCGTACGCCTACCCCCCGTCGATGCCACGTACACATACACAAGTGCCGACACACACACGTATGTATACAAGTATGTACATGGAGAATATCAAACGTGGGAATAACTTTTATAGCTCGCGAGGTTGCATTACTTATCGTCACTCACGAAGACATCTAACTAGACATACAAATACAATATGATATAAGTACATTGTTACAGTAGATTTCATTCCCTCTTAAATTAATATTTCAAATAAAAATAATAAAATTTATTTAGTTATTTCAATGATTAATTTCAGGGGTAGTCAAAACACTGAGTTGCTAGTAGTGAAATTCACAATTTTTCTACTAGATCTTTTGGTCATTGCTTCCCCCAAACGGAATTTGTATTTCCTTTTGTACAGGTATATACCTATAGGTATAAGTACCTTGGGCAAAAATTCTCCCTCCAGTCTCTCAGAGTCTTTCAGCGTCTCTGAGAACGTCTCTCACAGTCTTTCACATCTTTATGGATGTCTCACAGTCTCTGTATGAGAGACTCGAACGATAAAATTGTTAATTCAAGGCTGAGATCTCTAAAATATGTCGAACTTAGAAAATTTTAACCATGTCTATCGAGACACCACTTATTGAGAGATTCGAGTCTCTCGTTCAGAGATTCGAGTCTCTCGTAGAAAGACTGGGATCTGTGTTTTAACCATGTCTATCGAGACACCACTTATTGAGAGATTCGAGTCTCTCGTTCAGAGATTCGACTCTCGTTTAGAGACTGGATACGAAATGAGGATCCCACTACGAGCGACTAGAGTCTCTCGTTCAGAGACGGTAAACAGTTTTTTGACAGTCTCTCTTGGCGACACCAGAGCGACTCGATGAGAGACGGAGACTCGAGTCTCGTTTTCAGAGACTCAGAGACTGAACATTTTTATCTCGAGTACATATTTTGAAATAAAGGTCTCAGCACTCATTATTTAATAAAAAAGAGTGCGGGATGATCGGTCGAACGGATCACGCGTGCGTGATTAAAAACCTGCACCATGAAGGATTGTACAGCCATTTAATGTAGGAAAGCAGCAAGAAAGTAAAATCTGGCCTACTGCAATGTATATAATAGCCCAACTTGAACTTCTTTTTTTTTACATTCCTGTAAACTAAAGAAATCACATGATCACGACAAGGCTTACTTCGTTCGTGTTGTCTTTTCCTACCAGAACCTTACGATCGACCGCAGTGAAAATTCATACTGATAATAGCTTCGCTTTTGTCCAATCCTATTTGCATACCTGAAGATGAATTTAAGGTTAGAAATTTTTGGTTCCGCTTTTGTCAAGGTTCGCTTCTGTCTCAACCCCTAAAGAACCTTCTTTTGGGAATACTAGTTTTTATATAATAACTAGCTTTTCCCCGCGGATTCGCTCGCAGAAATTAGTATTGTTTCTCCATAAAACCTTATAACTCCCAATTCACCCTTACAACGTTTTAATTTTATGTAATGTCGTCATCTTAGATTTCAAATACAAACGTAGCAACAACATTTCATCCTTAAGGGTTGATTTGTAGAAATTGCCAAAACACGTATTTGCTTAATTTCAACAATGAGCAACTTTCGAGTAAATCCAAGTACAAATAAAATATACCCCGTGGAAATGTTGCAACCTCTTTTCATGTGATTAATAATATCAAACAACAGATATACCAAGTTTCAAGTAAATTCAACTACAAATAAAGTATGTCCCAAATAAAAATTGCAACACCTTTCCCCTTTTTAAAATGTCGAGATAGATGTTTCAGATATTAAATGAGAGACCATTAAAACGAAGTTTGAAGTAAATCTGACGACAAATAGTATATGTTCCATTTAAACATTGCAACTCTTCTTCACCACTCATCCCCTCCAAGAGAGAATGAATTTTTTAACCAGTTTCAAGTAAATCGGACCAAAAACAAACATGCAATCTTTGCAAACCCCTTTCAGCTTCCTCAAGAGGTAGAATTTTGTAAAATGTTGAAATAGGTATGCATGTCACTAATTTTATATGAAAAAGCAATACAGCCAAGTTTCAGGTAAATCTGACTATAAATAAAACACCATATTAAACCATAGACAACATTACGTTTAGCTGTCAGTTGCGTTTTGTTATACTATTTTTAACAAATGAACGGCTAGACTGATGATTTTATTTATAAATTTTTCGTTTAGCTGTCATTTACGTTTTGTCATTCCATGTCAGTTGCTCCCGGTTGTAAACTACCTCCCCTCCAATTTTCAGCCAAATCGGTTCAGCCGTTCTTGAGTTATAAATGGTGTAACTAAGACGACTTTCTTTTATATACGAGGGTGGATTGATAAGTTTCCGGCCTGACCAAGAAAAACAAGGTTTTTAAAAATTTTTTTTTTTCATTTCTCAACATAATCTCCTCCAAGGCTGATACATTTCTCATAGCGGTGTTCCAGTCTATTAATGCCATCTCTATAGACTGATTCGTCAAGCTCCTCAAAATAACCATTTACAGCTTCGATTACTTCTTCATTGTCCGCAAATCTCTTACCGCCAAGCCATTTTTTGAGATTAGGGAACAGAAAATAGTCACTCGGGGCTAGGTCTGGAGAGTAAGGAGGGTGCGGCATCAATTCAAACTTTAGATCGTTGATTTTAGCCGTCGCAACGATTGACGTGTGCGCTGGTGCGTTATCGTGATGAAACAAGATTTTTTTCTTCGCCAGATGAGGTCGTTTAATTTTCACCTCGTGGCTCAAACGTTGCAATAAGTCTGCGTAGTATTGACCAGTGATAGTATTACCCTTTGCAAGGTAATCAATGTATATAATACCTCTTGCATCCCAAAAAACAGTAGCCATAACCTTGTTCGCCGAAAAAATTGTTTTTGCCTTCTTTGGAGTTGGTTCCCCTGGTCCAATCCACTGTTTAGACTGTTCTTTGGTTTCAGGAGTGTAGTGGTGGACCCACGTTTCGTCAACGGTTACGAATCGACGCAAAAATTCGCTTGGATTACGCTTATACAATGACAAATTTGCGGTAGAAATGTTTTTTCGAATCAATTTTTGGTCGACTGTTAGCAAACGCGGCACCCATCTTGCACAGAGCTTTTCCATATGCAAATGTTGGTGCAAAATATGTTGCACACGTTCATATGACATCTTACAGGTCTCAGCTATCTCACGCACTTTCAATCTGCGGTCTCCCAGCACTATTTGATGAATTTTTTCGATCATATCTGGAGTTGTGACCTCAACGGGGCGTCCTGAGCGAGGCCCATCAGAGGTGCTCACACGACCCTTTTTAAACTCGGAAACCCACTGCTTAACGGTTGAATATGACGGGGAGGATGTCCCCAGTGTTGAGTCCATCTCTTTTTTAATTTCCTTCGGCGTTAACCCCTTCAAATAAAAGTATTTGATGACAGCACGATTTTCCTGCTTTTCCATTTTTACGAAAACCACAGAGGCGTCTTGTTCAGCGTGCTGTCAAACCTACACTAGCAAGGAGATCGGGCTGAAACTATAGCTACAAGCTATCCAAGGATGGTACTATAGAATGTCACCTCAAGGTAGGCCTAGTGGCGTCATCTCTTGGTTAGGCCGGAAACTTATCAATCCACGCTCGTATATAGAAGATTTGCAAAATAGTTACATTTTACCCTTTTACGAATTGAATTTTTTAAAATTCTGCATTCTTCTATCACAATTAGAAACCGGCTTATCAAATATCGCATTTCTGGATTAAAATAGTCGATGAAAATAAAACGTACCTTCCGGGAAATTGCCATCTTCCGATACTAATAATCCTTTCTTTAACTAATGGACGGTAATGTTATACCTAATGCGAAGTGCAAAACCAAGACTATAAAATGATTTTAACTGCGATCTTGTTTTTGTTCTGCGTTAATTACAGTCAACTTCGTTTACCGCAAACGATCGCGTTGGTTAGAGCGTTTTGAATGGGTAAATCATGTGTGTATGCCCATTATATTTTACCTACCTTTCAACATGTATGGCACAATAACCATTGCAGCAATATTTCATTCCTCTCCTTTTATAAAAAAATTCAAAGCGGACATTTTTCGATATTCATGTACTAATGTTCAGATTTACAATTAGTTTTTATGTGTTTGTTAGTTAATTAAGAAAAACACTTGAAATTAAGGCGAAAAATAGTCAAAACTACCAAAAAATTACTAACCTTGAATATATACCAGAACCTAAAAAAACTCCTTCAATATCCACCCAAACCTACAAATAGCTTCTTCAAAAAACACCCAAACCTACCTTCTTTTCGTTAAATTGTAAACCTATTGCGCAATATTCACTTAGGTACATTGAGTAAATATCAATTAATTTTATTAGCATTTTTACGTATAATTTCGAAATAACAATTTCAATTTATTAAAAATTTTCTGCAACATTATACAAGAGAATAAATAAAATATATTTTATTTGGCAATATTGTAACTAAATTGTATAATATGTAAAACTCTGATAAGAGAGTAGCGCTAATAAGTGACCAAACATTTTTAGTCAATATATTGCATCCGTATCAATATTTTATAAAAGCTCCTTGAGTATGTTTCAATCATCTCACAAATATGCACATAAGAATGAAAAAAATAAAGCGACTTACATTAACAGGTCTCAAAATGTGCCGAGAATTTCTGCAGACTCCTGCTGGATAATTTAAGGATGTAATTCACGATTTACAGCAGCAGTTATTTATGTAAAAAGTCATCCTAATTAAATCACAAACGATTAACATTTTTTTTTAAAGTCATATTAGTACAATAATTTATAGAAATAGCTAACACGACACTAAACGATACCGACAATATATCACGACTCGTCACTTTCTCGATCTAAATATGTATCGCATTGGCGATTATCATCTCTTATTTATGACGATAATCACCGAGGCCTGCTCGGTTTACAACTTTTTGCTAGAGATTCGGTTGTTTTCGTTAACAGATTAAATGAAATCTATTAACCAAACTGTGTGCATACGGCATTTATTTTAAAAGCGGTTGATGTTTTTTAAAATGTATTATGTTCCAATTTGCATGACAGTTATAAACCATAAATATATTATATAAATGAATATAACAGAATAGACATTTCTGTTTAATTGTAAGTTAATTTGAGGAAATTTAAAGCGGGAAATTATAGAAATATAATTAACAAAAAAAAATTAATTCAAATATTGACTGAAGGGTGGTGGATAATGATTGATTACGGTCTTTTTAAATTAAATAAGGTCTGATAAGCAAAATCGCCCTTCATTTAATACTTAACCCTTACCTCTACAAAAAAAATTAGATATAAATTTAACACAACCCTAAATCATCTTTTGAATCAATATTTTTGTAAAAGCACGGGCTAAACAGGTTGCGCTTTAGGGGGGAGGAGAACGTATAAAAATATTCACTAAAACCTAACCTAACTTTCTAAAAGGGACACGCTTAACACATACAACTGAGGTGAGACTAAATCATCCAAAAAACGTGTAAAAGAAGCACAGCTAATGTTAAAAAATAGATATATATAATTAAAGGAATATGAGTATAATTTTATTCCTTTTTTGTTTCAGGACACGCCATGACGGCGTGGAATTCGGGGCTGATATGGTCGGCCCTATTGGCCTTTCAATTTATGATACCGCTGCCAATTTCGGAAGCTGGTAAGTTTAATATATAAATTATAAGTGTTTTAACTTGTAAATATGTATACGCAGTCGCGAAAGAAAAAGATTGTTCTTCAATAGATTACAGGTTGAAACACGAGAATAAGAACAGCAATAAAGTAAAGAACCTAACCTAACCTAACCTAAAAAAATAACCAATCAAATCAATTTTCTTTTTCTAAAAAGTTCAAAACCCGATTTCAAAGGTCAAAATCTAATAGAAGCATCAACATTTCACGCTATAACATACATAGAAAACTGTTCAAGAGGTCAAAATCTATCTCTGAGCAAATTTTCATCGATTTGTCAAAGGAGACGTACCTACCATAACTATAATCCTGTTTATAGACTTTTTTAAGAAAATCTATTGAACAATGAAAAACTCTAGCTAATGAATCAAATTTAGATTTGATTTAATAATAAAAAACTACAGGTTTTCATGCAGCCATTATAAAATCCCTTATAGAAGAAAAGTATCAATTGTTTCATGGTAAAATTGTTCAAAACTAGATAACTATTGATCTGGTCCTTTTTTATTATTTAATGAGGATTATTACTTAATTGCTGAATTTTATGCAGAAGGCGTATGATCGTTTACGTCGATTTTAATGAGTTGTTAAAAATTACGCGAGAATCGGCTTAAGTGGCATACCAGGGCATCTTTTAAAAGACGAACCCGTCAGTACATCATGCGTTGCATATTTATTAGACAACCTAAGAAGGTCAATGATATCATTTAAGTGAACATTTAGCAATCTACGTGGTTTCAATTGATCTCCCATCGATATTCTGGATAGCAAATAGGCAACTTAGAATTTATACTAATTATTAGTTAATTCTGGATGAATGCTTGTATACGTTAGAATTAATTGGAATAAAGAAAGCAATTTAGTAATCCTTGTTGCACTAAAGAAGGCAATTCATCACATACAATTGGTATATACATACTTACTTGTTTTATATATATATTTTTGGTCATATGTGTATGCCCATTATATTTTACCTACCTTTCAACATGTATGGCACAATAACCATTGCAGCAATATTTCATTCCTCTCCTTTTATAAAAAAATTCAAAGCGGACATTTTTCGATATTCATGTACTAATGTTCAGATTTACAATTAGTTTTTATGTGTTTGTTAGTTAATTAAGAAAAACACTTGAAATTAAGGCGAAAAATAGTCAAAACTACCAAAAAATTACTAACCTTGAATATATACCAGAACCTAAAAAAACTCCTTCAATATCCACCCAAACCTACAAATAGCTTCTTCAAAAAACACCCAAACCTACCTTCTTTTCGTTAAATNATTTCTAATTCAAATTTATCACAATCGCCATAATCCTATAATTACTCGACAGTAATGTTTTGTCAGAATTCATGAGGATGTAGCAATAAACTTACACAAAACGTTATAGAAGTATCTAAATATAAAAATATTCTGAATGGATGAAATGTATTCAATTTGGAATCAAAAATGAAGGCACATTTAAAATTTTGTACAAAGAAGCATTCAAGGCAATGCCAAAATTTAATGTAAATGTGACTACTTCGTATATGTTTCTTATAATAGAGCAAAATCGTTTAAGAATAGTCAAAAATTCATTTGAAATAGCTTAATTACCATAATAGACCAAACGTTGACAACAGTTACTTCGAAATTTCCGTCTTATTTTTATTCAAAAAACGTATCCGGTGTACATAGGTACGACATGTGAATATTTGAAAATAATGAACCGATTTGATGATCTTGTCTAATAGGACCATTCCACCGAATCGCGGAATTTTAATGGCATCAGCTGTACCGTCTAAATTCAAGCCAACAAAAAAAAAAAAAAATAAAATCCCCATGCGACCGAAACAGTTGCAATAAGTAGTGAATAAGTAAATAAAACCAGTTACGTAACCTGCGAAATTTCATATGCAACACATGTCCTGGTACTTTGTCCCATCGCAAGCGGTCAGTTACCCAAAAACCATGTTAAAACGAAAATAAACATGGTGTTCTCGAAACGAGTACAAGCCATAAAAATCGCCTCTGCCACCACTTAGGATGATTTACGTTCATTATGACGGCTTTTACAAGCCTTGACAACGGCATTGTAAAAAATTAAGTCAATTTACATTTCTTTAACACCACGGCAGATGGTACCTTTGCCTACTACGATTCGCACATACCTTATTCACTTTAAATAAATGGGAAGAAAAATCAGGAATATTTTTACTCAAACTTCAAACTATGGGAGCTGGAATTGAATGAAATAATAAGAATTTACCTTTGTGGTCTTTGCCCCAGCATGTCAAGGTTGTCCTACCATAAAAATTAAAAAGAAGTGCAGAAAGGTATTCTAATCTGGCATCAAAATTGCCCCAGTACGTCAACATTTTGAAATATCATACTTATTTTTCTATTGTTTCTTTTAAACCCTTACATTAGTAATGACATTTTTGGTCTAGTTTCCTAATCCATGTTGACTAGCGATATTATCTATTCGTCCACCAAAATCAAACGAAATAATGATGAATAAAGAATATCACTACTAGGTACCTACACGTTAATCGCATCGTTAAATTCTAAGAATTGTACTCTTGAGTTCACTGGATCTAGAGGCCTTCTAAACAATACAGTTTATTTTTTCTTTATGTTACCTAATTTGTCCTCTTCAAATCATAGGATCGTCAATCCTGACTCCTGAGACTAGTCACTCACTCAGCTTCACTCTTTCCTATCCTGAGCTAATCTCCATATTTCCCTAAAACGAGAACACCCCCCATTCTTAACTGTTTATGAACAGTTATCTAATATGTATCTATCTCTACTTTTCTTAACTAATGTTTCTACTTCTAATGTGTCTTTACCCTTTTTATACTTGAGAAGATCTAAGTGGTAGATTATTTTTCTTTGATTTCGAGGACGATTATGTTGCGGTCTCGTCCCTGAAATTTCGGAAGTTCGCCATCGTCGTTTTCAATTGGGATGTGATACGTTCTTCCCTTAGTGCGTAATACATGTATCTACTACTACTTAATTGGAATATATTACGTGCGAAAACTCTATATCGAAATTCCACATATCAAATTCATATTTTTATTAATTTCCACCGGAAAACTATTGTAACAGTTAGAGCAATTGATGTAAATAGAATGTTTGTCGCCCCCTATTCGCCCCAAGAACTATTAAAAGTAGACAACAAAATCAAAAATTGCTGTTGCTATAGAACCATTAACGGCTCTTGATAAAGAGCACAAAAAACGTCTGTGATGTCATATAATAACGTTTACCACTTGTTGAGATGTTTGTCTCATTGCAGAATGATATGTTTTGTTCAGTCAGGGCGGCTCAAACTCCCTTTATGAATAAACGGTAAAAGCTCTCAAAAGGTAACTGTAACCTGTACTGTTAGAGGATCTTTAAATAAAAGTGTAAAACTACCATTCTGTATTTCTACCGTTTTATTCAATATGTTTTACAATTACCTTACCGCTGGTACCATTACTTTATCAGGATCATTGTGGTCATTACTGTTGATACTTCTTTAAAAACTTTTGGGTGTTTCATTCCCACCAGTCGGTAATGCTGGTGGGCGGGCAGTCCCTCCGGACTACGCCGGAAAGTAGGCTGGAAGGCCCTCTTCAGCCTGCTTTCAGGAATCGTGGGAATGGGTGGGTGGTGGTTCGGGTGAGAAAGATGAAACGGACGAAATGAAGACAGAAGAGAATGAAAGATTATCTGTAGAATATTACTGCCTCAGCATTTGCCTAAGTGATCCAAGGAAACCACATAAAAACTTGGGACCAAGGCAGACGGACCCGGAATCGAACCAGCGTCCTCCCGAATGCTAAGCAATGGTCTAAACCTCTAGGCCATGCCGCTCGGTTCTGTTGATAAGATTTACTGCCAGGATCATAGAATTTTATGTAGTTTTTCGAAAGTCGTCCAACAGTTGATAATCTCATTTTCCTTTAATTATCCACTATCAATAATACGAGTGATAATCCCTTGCATATAGCAATTTATCAGTTTTAACGACACGTACTTAATGAGTATTAGTCAGGTATCGTCATATCGCAAGAATTTGTGTCAGTATACTAGTCAATAAATGAAAAACGGCCGGTACGGCGCGGCGCGCGCCCTCTATCGCATTCTTTTGTCGTTCATAAAAAAGATGACCGCCAACTTCGACCGGCAAAGCGGTCTCACTGGCATATACTTGACCTCCCATGAAGAGTCACTCTGGTCGGGTCTCTCACGCCTCCTCACGCTGGACCACTACATAGTCCGTACACATGCAATTCCGTCTTTGTAGGGCGGACAACCGAACACACTGAACATATACAGGGTGTGTAATTTTCGGTTACAGTGCATACACATACTGTACTATTACACTATTATACTCTATACACATTATTATTGCATACCTAAGATACACCAATCACCAATAATGTAATATTATTGCAACATAGCCACCTTGATTGTGTTAGGCTCATAAAACAAACCTTGCATTTGATTGATTAGAAACAGATTTGTGGCAGTTTTTCTAATATAAATATGAACACGAACATACAAAAGAAATGAAACTTAATTTCTACAAACAGCGTGACGAACGCCATCTGTAGAACATGATTATATTTTGTGGGATTGGCGGATTGCAATTTCGACCATTTTGGGTCTCCTCAGCACATACACGATTCCGACAGAACATAGACCAACTGTAATACCTTCACTTGGTTTGTGTATGTGCATACTGACCATTATTTGAACTTTTTTGTTGTGGAAATTAAACTGGTGGTTAACTAAATCTTCTACATCACTTAGTAATAGAACAATCAACAATTTTGTCATTTTTTGAAGAAAAATGTTCATCTCATTCATTCTCTATTTCTTTAATGGTTGTCAACTTCTTTTCCCTTAAGTAAGTTCCTGTTCTATTTGCAAATTTATCTTTTCTTAGGATCCAATTATATTTCAGATTCCACCTTAAGGATTATTCTTCA